GCTCTGTTTGAAAGGTGCTTTGTAGTGACCTCAGAAACTCAACTGACTCTAAGAGACTCTTGGAGAGATCACTTTAATATCCTCATTTGTGTAAACCTTATAGGTAAGGCTTGGGAGGGAGTGACTAAGACGACCTTGAACTCTGCTTGGAAGAAACTGTGGCCAGAATGTGTAGACAAAAGGGATTTTGAAGGGTTTGAGGCTAACCCTGAGAATCCTATGCCAGTTGAGGAATCCATTATGGCATTGGGAAAGTCCTTGGGGTTGGAGGTTAGTGGGGATGATGTGGAAGAGTTGGTGGAGGAGGACAATGAAGAACTAACCACTGATGAGCTGATAGATCAACTTCAACAGCAAGAGGCCAGACCTGAGGAAACTGGTTCGAAGGAGGGGAGAGAGAAATTGAAGAAATTGCCTACTACAAAGATTAAGGAAATCTGTGCAATGTGGCTGAAAGTGCAAACCTTTATGGATGAAAATCACCCTCACACAGCTATTGCAAGCCGTGCTGGTGACTATTACACTGACAATGTTGTGAAACACTTTAGGGAAGTCATAAAGGAACGAGAGGTACAGGCCACTATGGACAGATATGTTGTGCGACAGAAGTCCAGTGACTCTGAAGCTGGTCCTAGTGGCATTAAAAGAAGAAGGGAAGTAACCCCAGAAAAGGACTTGACACCTCAAGTCTTAATGGAAGGGGATTCCCCTTCTAAACACTAACATTCTCTCCTCCTCCCATCCCATCAATCATCACCAGATCTTCAATAAAAGTAAGTGTCATGTAATTGTGCATGCCTTTTTCAGTTTGTGTGTATTAAAATTAATATTTCATGTGGAAAAAATGTTTTTTTTCATACTTTGGGGTGTCTTGCACGGATTAATTTGATTTCCATTATTTCTTATGGGGAAAATTCATTCGCATAACGATAATTTCGCATAACAATGAGCTCTCTTGCACGGATTAATATCGCTATGCGGGGGTCCACTGTATTTTTATTTGGATATGATACATAGTTGTACAAAGAAATATAGTGACTGGGTGTACATGCCAAAAGCCCCTTGTATGCAGAAAATTATGGGCAGGCTTAAAATGAAACAATGTCTACTCACAACAAGTAAAACATGCAAAGTTAATACTATTTCTATAAAGACTCTTTTGCAGTCAGTACTGAAAATGTGATATTACTAACCTACTTTATGGCAAGTCCCTGGTTATGCAGAGCATTTCACCTGCACAGCAGAAATCATTAATCAAATACAGAGGTGACTAATATTGGTGATAACAGAAACATTGAAAAGGTAAATATGAGGTGATCAGTCTCTAGGCATTAATTAATGTTAAGCTTCATTGCCTTGATTAATGTAATTTAAGCCTATGAAGCTGAGCACTTATCAACACTAATGGACTGATCCCCTCCTATTTACATAACTGCTACTTCAGTTGTCTTTAGTACAGCCTCTCCTCATTTAATAACAGTTCCGTTCCTAAGACCTGTCAGTAAACGAATTCATCACTAAGTGAGGAGCACACTATAATGGTAATGGGTTTGTGTCAACCTTCTTTGATATTGTTTTAATAACAAAAAAAGGCACAATACCGTGACTGAAACAATACACAAATATCCCGCACATAGAAGAGAGGAGCTTACGACGACATTTCGGTCCGACTTGGACCATTTACAAAGTCACACTAACAAGAAGTGGAGCAGGACCAGGACGGGAGGGGGAGGAGGAGGAGGAGGAGGAGGAGGCAGAGGAGGAGGCAAAGGAGGAGGCGGAGGAGGAGGCAGAGGAGGAGGCGGAGGAGGCAGAGGAGGAGGCGGAGGAGGAGGCGGAGGAGGAGGCGGAGGAGGAGGCGGAGGAGGAGGCGGGAGGAGGAGGCGGAGGCGGAGGAGGAGGCGAGGAGGAGGCGAGCGGAGGCGGAGGAGGAGGCGGAGGAGGAGGCGGAGGAGGAGGCGGAGGAGGAGGCGGAGGAGGGAGGCGGAGGAGGAGGCGGAGGGGGAGGCAGAGGAGGAGGCAGAGGAGGAGGCAGAGGAGGAGGCAGAGGAGGAGGCAGAGGAGGAGGGGGAGGAGGCGGAGGAGGAGGCGGAGGAGGAGGCGGCGATCGCGGCAGTGGTGGTAGTAGTAGTGGGGAATTAAGGAGGAGGAGCCAGTCAAATACAAAGAAAGCGGAGCACTGCAAGGGAGCTAGGTGCCCACAGAGGGAGAGCAAGTGCACAGAGGTGGGGGGAAGGGGAAGTGATGAAATAAATAATGAAGGAACAGAAACACGAGACAGAAGATAGAAAGACAACCCAGAGGAGAAAAAAGGAAAGATGAAAGGGGAAGAGGGAGAAGAAGAAAAAAGGAGGAATCAGGTTAAGTCACGGGTGTTCTGAAGTTTGGAGCATTTTACAATGTAGTGGGAGATTAAGGCATCTACAGAGACAAAGCCAGGACTAAGATTCAAACAAAGAAAGTTGTGTATTAGAGAGGATTCAACTAGACGGCGACTGTTAGAGTTGGAAGTAGGGAAGACAGTTTTAGCGGAAGACCAGTCAATAGGATGGCTGTGATCTCTGACGTGACAGAACAGAGCACTGTTAGTGTCGGCAAGCCTAACACTATTTTTGTGCTCCCTAAGTCTGTCAGAAAGAGATCGACCAGTTTCTCCAAAGTATTGAAGAGGACAGGAGGAGCAAGAAATAGAGTAGACATCAGGAGCATCTGTAGAGGGAGGAGAGGTATGAAAGAGACCAGTGTGAAAAGTGTTAGTCTGGCGGAAAGTAAGCTTGATGTCTAAGGGACGGAGAGAATTGTTGAGATTAGAAAGACCGGAAATGTAGGAAAGGTAGAGGACAGAAGAGTTCCCAGGAGTAGAGAGTTTGGTTGAGAAGAAATTACGTTTAGCATGTGAGAGGGAAAAGTCTATGAAATGGGAAGGGTAGCCAAGACGGGAAAACGAATTATGAAGAATGGAAATTTCTGCTGGAAGGAGCTGAGGATCACAGATCCGGAGGGCACGAAGAAAGAGGGATATAACACTTTTCTTGTCAGGGGAAGCATGATAGAAAAAGTAGTGAATGTACATGCCACTGTGCATAGGTTTGCGGTAAATGGAAAAGGAAAAACCTGTATCTGAGTGGTGGACATGGACATCAAGGAAAGGAAACAAGGAATTAGATTCCCATTCACCTTTAAACTTAATGGAAGGGGCAAGATTATTAAGGGCTTCAAGAAAAGGTTGGAAGAGACTGGAGTCATGAGGCCACAGGTCATCCACATAGCGGAGCCAGAGTGAAGGTTGTACATCGATGGTAGGAAGAAGAACAGTCTCTAAGTATTCCATGTAAAGATTAGCAAGGACAGGAGAGAGAGGAGAGCCCATAGCGACACCGAAGGTTTGAGAATACAGTGGACCCCCGGTTAACGATATTTTTTCGTTCCAGAAGTATGTTCAGGTGCCAGTACTGACCGAATTTGTTCCCATAAGGAATATTGAGAAGTAGATTAGTCCATTTCAGACCCCCAAACATACACGTACAAACGCACTTACATAAATACACTTACATAATTGGTCGCATTGGGAGGTGATCGTTATGCGGGGGTCCACTGTAATATTTCCCTTGGAAGGAAAAGGAATGAGAGTCCACACAGAGGCAGATAAGATCAAGAAAGACATCAATAGGTATAGGGAGATGTAGAAACCCTTCATGGGCCTTCTCTCTAAGGAAATCAAGGACATCATCAAGAGGGACATTGGTGAAGAGGGACTCAACGTCAAGACTAAGCATCTTACAGGTCGGGAGAGAGCGAACCCGTTCAATGAAGTCTTGAGAGTGACGGAGGTGGGCAGGAGAAAAAGTACCAAGAAAGGGAGTGAGGGTTTTGGCCAACCAAGAAGCAAGAGAATAAGAGACAGAACCTCTGGAGGATATGATAGGATGAAGAGGAATATCAGGTTTATGAGTTTTGGGAAGGCGGCGGCGCTGCCGCTGCCACCACCACCACCACTACTACCTCTTCCTGCCTATATATACCCGTCCTGCTCCACTTCTTGTTAGTGTGACTTTGTAAATAGTCCAAGTTGGACCGAAACGTCGTTGTAAGCTCCTCTCTTCTATGTGCGTGTTATTTGTATATTGTTTTAATGTTCCCTTGCCCCATTTATAACATTTCTGGTACAGTGACACCTCGGGATACAAACTTAATTCGTTCCAGAAGGCTGTTCGAGTGCCGATACCGAATGAATTTGTTCCCATAAGTAATAATGTACAAAAGATTAATCTGTTTCAGACCCCCAAAAATACACTTACAAAAGCACTTACATAAATACACTTACATAACTGTTCGAGTTTTGAGCTGTTCGTATCCCGAGGTACCACTGTATATTTTCATAAGTTTTTATACAGTAATGTACTGTATACAGCCTCTCCTCACTTAGCGACGTACTCGTTTACCGATGGCTCGGACTTATGACGGGCTCTCTGACCAGTACGCATACCTAAATAATGTATATTAGAGCTGATTTCCTCTTCTTTTTATTACAATATACAATACACTACAGTATAAACATTTAAAAATGTACTAAAAATTTTATAAATGGTGTAAAGGTCACAATAAAACAATATCAAAGATGGCTGACACAAACCCACTACCATTATAGTTGCTTCTCACTTAAACACAAATTCATTTACCGATGTCATGTTAGGAATGGAACTCTGTCGTTAAGTGAGGAGAAGCTGAATTGCAATAAACAGAATAGAGGAAAACAGCTTTGATATACATTATTTGGGTATGCAAACTGGTCAGAGAGCCCGTTATAAGTCCTAGTCGTTGGTAAACAAGTACGTCGCTAAGTGAGCAGAGGCTGTGTTTAGGTCACCTTTGCATTCAATTGAAGAAGCCTGGAGTGTAGGTAAACACTTATACAATAATGATACCTGCTGCACGTGTGTTTTACTTAAAGTACCAATGTTGGAACTTTCCTTCACTGGGAATCTTGAGAAGCTACTTACTTGTGTCTCATTATTAGCATCTGTCCACAAGGTCCAGATGTACCATGATGTCAGGCTGAAGTCCACAAGGTCATACTAGAAAAAAACTAAACATTACAATACTGTACATCAAGGATACTTGCTGCTCTTTTAACTACCAAGTCAAGTTTAAGTAGATCATAGAACAGGTGGGGTTTAAACCCACGGAAAGCAAGTACTAAAACTCAAACCTCACCCATTTCTTTATTTTTTTTGCAACTGTGTTATAACAATTTTGTGAGTTGTTAAAATAGACTAAAAAAAAAAAAAAAAAAAAAAAAAAAAAAGTTTAAAATCATCATATTTTATAATCATTTAAAAATTCATAAAGTGATTTGGGAGAAAATATCAAGAGAAGAAAACTAGTTAGCAATGTAACCAAAGAAAAGAGCACAGGAAGGCTCATCCCCAACCATTAACTTTTTAAATATTAGAGGCTTGTATAGGCCTATAAAACTGAATTCTTTTGAGAACAGACTGGCACAAAATTCCCAAAATTTTATGTTGCATCAAACAATACCTGAAATAAAAAAAATAAAGCAAGTGACAACAAAAAACCATATGTATTTCACAAAAACAATACACTAAACATTATCACTCAAACCAAAAAAAGAAAGACTTCAGTATGCACTAAGAAAGACCTGCTGTGCACTGCCTGTGAAACCCATAAACACAACTCGGCAGAAACAGAAAAAAAGACATCAGATATTAAACTTAATTTTAATTTTAATTGATTCTGAAGTAGCAGATTTAACTGTTCTACTGACTGTTTTCCAAAACCAAAAAGAACATAGAAAAGGGTAAGAAGACATGTTCATACACTGTAACAGACTAAACTAATTCTTGCAGTTAGAGGAAGAATTAACAACCATTTCCACCGAAAAAAAAGTTTTATAAGAACATAGGAAAGAAGCAGCACTGCACAGAAAATTTTGGGGGCCTAAAAAATTGTGCATACTAACGTGGTTAGTATGCACAATTTACATTTGGTACATGGACAGAGTACACAAACAAATGGTCAATATTTTGTTTTTCCCCACCATGCACCAAGGGAGAATTTTTTTAAAACTGTGCACACATAATGAAACTGACACTTTTTTCTTATACCTAAGCTAAAATTTACCACTCACAGCTTATCTGAGTGAGCTGAAACTCAAGATGTAGAACAAAGTAAGGGATCCTGGCCTTAATGATGGAGTTCTACGTGACAGCCACTGAAACAGTTAAACATACAGTAGACCACCGGATAACAGCAATCTCTTAATGCATTTAGCAAAACTGTGACATATTTTTGGTGAACACACTTTAAAATCAGTTTACACAGTGGAGTACATGCAGAGGAAAATGTGGCAGGAACGGCGGTCTTTACCTCCGCCTCACAGTGACCCCTCAGTCCATTGAATTATAGGCTAGTGGGGGGCAGTGTGTGACCTAGTGGGTGTTAGATCCAAGACTCATTCACCTCCCACCCAGTCACCCATCATCCAATCACCACCCACCCATTCACCCATCATCCAATCACCACCCACCCAGTCACATCATCCAATCACCACCCCACACCAGGCCACTGACAACTTTCACCCACACCACCCCCACATCTTCATGTCCACAAGCCTCACTCCCACACTACCCCTGCTTTCACTCACACCACCCCTCCCACCTCACAACTTCAAACCCCCACTGCCTCACTCTGACAAAACCCACACCCACACCTCACTCATGCTTTTACGGTCCACACACTTAATCATGTAGCCACCCACCACCCCCATTACCACCCACACCAACAACTGCACACTCACTCACCCCGACACCTATCACCCACACCACACCCACACTGGGCCATGCCACCAACACTGCCACCCACACAATCACCATCACCCCACCTCATTGCTTCCAGACTCCCCCCCACACCCCTCCACCATCCAGCATCCTTCACCTTCCAACACCAACCTTTTGCCCCACCCCTCCAACATTAATCTTCACTTCCCACAACAGCACTTCCCAACCCCTGGTCCAAAACCCCCACACTGAATCCCACCATCGCAATAACTAAACCCCTCCCATGTATACCCAACCACTGTAACCCCTCCTTTAATACTCCTTTACAGTTTCCCAAAGAGGACAACTAAACAATAAAATATGTAGTTTGCCTGCTGGCAAAGCTACATATTTTTACTACCACCACTCTTCCTGCCTATATATAGCCGTCCTGCCCCACTTCTGGTTAGTGTGACTTTGTTAAAAGGGCCAAATCGGGCCGAAACGTCGTTGTAAGCTTCTCTCTTGTATGTGCGGTTATTTGTGTATCGTTCCAGTCACGGTATTGTGCCTTTTTTGTTATTTATAAGAACAAAAGAAAGGAGGAACACTGCAGTAGGCCTATTGGCCCATACTGGCAGGTCCTTCCACAATCCAACCCACTAACAGAATATTTGCCCAACCCACTTTAGTTTTTACCGAACAATCAGCTCTGATAAATCCACTAACTCATGTGCAAGTCCCACTCAAATCCAACTCATCTCATTCATGTATTTATCCAACCTAAATTTGAAGCTACCCAAGGTTTTTAAGTTCAATAAACCTATAGGCAGACTGTTATACTCATCAACTACCCTATTTCCAAAACAATACTTTCCTATATCCTAAAGCTTTATACATCATTAGTAAGGCCTCACCTAGATTACACAGCTCAGTTCTCATCTCCATATTACAGAATGGATATAAATTCGTTAGAAAACATTCAACGAAGAATGACAAAATTAATTCATAGTAATAGAAATCTTCCATATGAAGAATGATTGAAGTCCCTTAAATTGCATTCACTTGTAAGACGAAAAATGAAAGGAGACATGATCAAAGTGTACAAGCTTAAGATGGGTATTAACAAAGGGGATATAAATAAGGTCTTGAGGATATCTCTTCAAGACAGAACCCGCAATAATGGATTCAAATTAGGTAAGTTTAGATTCAAAAAGGATACAGAAAAGTTTTGGTTTGGAAATAGGGCAGTTGATGAGTGGAACATTGTGCCTGGTAGGGTTATTGAAGCTAGGACCTTGGGTAGTTTCAAATTTAGGTTGGATAAATACACGAGTGAAAGGGGCTGGATGTGAGTGAGACTTGGGTAGCACTGAAAATTGGGTTGGGCAAATATCGTATTAGTGGGATGGATTGTGAAGGACCTTTCTAGTATGGGCCAACAGGCCTGCTGCAGTGTTCCTCCTTTCTTATGTTATGTTCTTAATCTATTTGCCTTATTATGCATGTTTAAGCACTGCTTTCATGGCTGCAGGATCTTTGACATACATCACCATACTAGCCTTCAATTACATTTTTTTTTTTTTACAATTTTGAGATCTATAAAAAAAAATATTTTGGCTATTTTGGGGGGTCTAATGAACCTAAGCCTATTTTCCCCATAAGTTCCTTGGTTTGATTAATATGATTTCTGATTACAGGCCATATTCAGGAACATAATTACTATTGCCCACCTATCCTCCTCACTGAAAGAGTGGTCTAGGTGCAATAATAAAAAGAATTTCTTACTACTACTTTTCTTTGGGTATCAAGAATCACGAGTAAAATTCGAAGGCCTTTTAATTGTCATATTGTTTCTTAGAAACATTTTTTTTTTTTTCAACAAGTCGGCCATCTCCCACCGAGGCAGGGTGACCCAAAAAAGAAAGAAAATCCCCCAAAAGAAAATACTTTCATCATCATTCAACACTTTCACCACACTCGCACATTATCACTGTTTTTGCAGAGGTGCTCAGAATACAACAGTCTAGAAGCATACACATATAAAGATACACAACATATCCCTCCAAACTGCCAATATCCCAAACCCCTCCTTTAAAGTGCAGGCATTGTACTTCCATTTCCAGGACTCAAGTCCGACTATATGAAAATAACCGGTTTCCCTGAATCCCTTCACTAAATATTACCCTGCTCACACTCCAACAGATCGTCAGGTCCCAAGTACCATTCGTCTCCATTCACTCCTATCTAACACGCTCACGCACGCTTGCTGGAAGTCCAAGCCCCTTGCCCACAAAACCTCCTTTACCCCTCTCTCCAACCCTTTCGAGGACGACCCTACCCCGCCTTCCTTCCCTATAGATTTATATGCTTTCCATGTCATTCTACTTTGATCCATTCTCTCTAAATGACCAAACCACCTCAACAACCCCTCTTCTGCCCTCTGACTAATACTTTTATTAACTCCACACCTTCTCCTAATTTCCACACTCTGAATTTTCTGCATAATATTTACACCACACACTGCCCTTAAACAGGACATCTCCACTGCCTCCAACTGTCTCCTCGCTGCTGCATTTACCACCCAAGCTTCACACCCATATAAGAGTGTTGGTACTACTATACTTTCATACATTTTTTTCTTTGCCTTCATAGAAACGTATCAGTAATAAAATACATGTATTAGCTTTTCTCTCGTATTTTACAATTGCGAAATTATTTACAAATTACTATATACAGGACCTCGGTAATTTCACCATTCACAGTAATGAGTTTCAACATAACCTTACGGGGTTCTTCCAATCGCCTGGGTGTTTAACAGAGTAATTCACAATTGGGACACGAGATACACGTATGTCCCCCACTGAGCATCTTCAACATATTTTTCAAAGAAATGAAGCTCTGTTACAACAGAGTTTCCGAGATGTAACCTAACCTAATATATTAAATAATTTTACTTTGTACATTAATTTACTTGTGATGAATGGTTTAGAAAACCGACAAGTTGAAGAATTGAGACACTTATGCAACACATGGGAATCTGTATTGAAGAAACGTTTCGCCACACAGTGGCTTTATGAGTCCAATACAAAGTAGAAATGGGTAAGGAGAGGAGAAGTTTGAGGTAATCAGTCCCTCAACCTGGAATCGATGTGTCCAGTCCATCACTCTTGTAGGAAATGCAGCATAGGGCCAGAGAGGTGGCTTATATACTGCAGTGAGATGAGGTGAAACAGGAGGAGGCGGGATCGCAGTGGGACCTGCCACTAGTGTAAGTAGGTCATCGTCCAAAGGTTGGACAAGCGTTGAAGTCTTTGTACCAAGATCCCATGATGTTGCAGTGTCTGACAGATGTGATGAATGGTTTAGAAAACCGACAAGTTGAAGAATTGAGACACTTATGCAACACATGGGAATCTTTATTGAAGAAACGTTTTGCCACACAGTGGCTTCATCAGTCCAATACAAAGTAGAAATGGGTAAGGAGAGGAGAAGTTTGAGGTAATCAGTCCCTCAACCTGGAATCGATGTGTTCAGTCCATCACTCTTGCCCAACCTTTGGACGATGACCTACTTACACTAGTGGCAGGTCCCACTGTGATCCCACCTCCTCCTGCTTCACCTCATCTCACTGCAGTATATAAGCCACCTCTCTGGCCCTATGCTGCATTTCCTACAAGAGTGATGGACTGAACACATCGATTCCAGGTTGAGGGACTGATTACCTCAAACTTCTCCTCTCCTTACCCATTTCTACTTTGTATTCGACTGATGAAGCCACTGTGTGGCGAAACGTTTCTTCAATAAAGATTCCCATGTGTTGCATAAGTGTCTCAATTCTTCATTAATTTACATGATTCCATTTGGTAAAATTGTACGAGGCCCCAGATAATATTATATAGTCGGACTTGCCTATTTTAGCTACTAATAAGCAAGTTTGCAAAGTGATGTTAAGTGATATCGGCTCAAAGTAATGTGGAAGGTGACCAGGCGTAACACTACGGTGTTATAGGGATGGGGTTCACTTATCTAGGTCTGGGGTAGGAGCACTGGCCCAAACCCCTGGGGGGGCTTTTAGGTCTTTAAACTAGGAATATTATGGTTGGGGTTTTGGGGGGAAAAAAAATTGAAGTGAGTGTAGTAATATGAGTATAGGAGAACTTAATGGGAAATGAGGGGATATTGAAAACCATGGCACTAATTGACAAGGACACTAATGGGGTTTAGTGAATAACAAAAGGGGAGCAGAAGGGTAAAGAGACAAGGCTTTAAAATATATTACAAAAACAGTCGCAGTCCTAGGAAATAAGATGGACAGTTGGACTAGCTGCTATGCAGGAACATTGATGTATTTGCCAAAAACCGAGACTGGTTTAATTCAAAAAGTGGGGACATGCCTGCAGAATGTCACTTTCAGGGTTTTAAATTGTTCCAATAGATAAAAATTTCGGAAGGGGGGGGGGGGTGGCATTGTATTTTCCGAGATCACTTAACTTTTGAACTGTATTAAAGTCTAAGTAACACAAATCAGTCTTTTGGATAGAATTTTCAGGGGGGCATGAAAAATTTTTTTTGGTTGATATCCACCCCCAAACTTAATGGGACCAAGGGGGAGATACTAGGGGAGGAAAATTGTTAGGGCCACAAGGACGAAAATGTAAAATTCTAGAGACTTTAACTTTAGTCAATTGATTGGAATTTCTTCTGGGAATTTAGAATCATACACTTTTAGTGTATTTTGGGATTTTTTTTCCCATTTTGTGACAAAACCTACAAGGGAAAAACCTGCTTGACAATTCTGGAAAACAATGAATCCCTTGTTAATAATTTAAAAGTTTCAAGGGGAAATGGGGGCTAGACCACAAAACAATTTCATTTTTCATTGAATGGAAGTAGAAGAGGGGTAAACCCGTAAAGTCCCCAAATTTTTGCTTAGCAATTACGATGGGGGGGGGGGGAAGGAACACTTATCATCTGTTGATGGGGAACGAAAAAAGCTTTCAAATGACAGTTTTCTGAACCCATACATGCGCTCAAAGAACGTTTATCCCGTATAAAGAAATTAGATCAAATAGAAATGACCCAAAATGGATGAATAATAGGCTGAAATATCTACTAGGGCATAAGAAAGGAATTTATAGGCGTATCAAAAGAGGTGAGGGTCATCTTATGAATCAGTATATTGACATTAAGAGGGACATTAAAAAGGGGATAAGAAAAGCTAAAAGGGACTATGAAATTAAAGTTGTTAGGGATTCTAAAACTAACCCAAAAAGTTTTTTCCAGGGATATAGAACAAAAGTCAGAGATAAGATAAGTCCCCTTAAAAATAACTATGGGCATCTTACTGACAAAGAGAATGAAATGTGCTCAATTTTAAATAATTATTTTCTCTCGGTTTTTACACAGGAAGACACTAATAATATTCCAGTAATTCATTTTTATAGTGGGCCAGAAGAAGATAAATTATGTAACATCACAGTTACTAGTGAAATGGTTGTGAAGCAGATAGACAGACTGAAGCAAAATAAGTCACCGGGTCCTGATGAGGTTTTTTCAAGGGTTCTTAAGGAATGCAAAATGGAACTCTGTGAACCATAAACTAATATTTTTAATTTATCTCTTCAAACAGGTGTAGTGTCTGTTATGTGGAAGATGGCTAATGTAATTCCTATTTTTAAAAAAGGGGACAAGTGGTTACCATCAAATTACCGCCCAATAAGCTTGACCTCAATTGTAGGCAAATTACTAGAGTCAATTATAGCTGAGATTATAAGAAGCCATCTCGATAAGCATAGCTTGATTAATGATACTCAGCATGGATTCACAAGAGGCCGGTCTTGTCTAACTAATTTATTAACTTTCTTCAGTAAAGCTTTTGAGGCTGTTGACCACGATAAAGAATTTGATATTATTTACTTAGGTTTTAGTAAGGCATTTGATAGAGTTCCTCACCAAAGACTGTTAAAGAAAGTAGCAGCTCATGGCATTGGGGTAAGGGTGCTCTCGTGGATCGAATCATGGCTCACAGACAGGAAGGAGAGAGTGTCCATAAATGGGGTTAAATCCGAGTGGGGATCAGTAACAAGTGGCGTTCCACAGGGATCAGTCTTGGGCCCGTTGTTGTTTATAATATATATCCATGATCTTGATGAAGGAATTACTAGTGATATGAGCAAATTCACCGATGGCACAAAGATAGGTAGGATAATTGATTCAAATGTAGGTGTTAGGGAACTTCAGGAGGATTTAGACAAACTCTATTCTTGGTCAGAAAAGTGGCAGATGCAGTTCAATGTAGATAAATGCAAGGTTCTGAAGCTCGGGAGTGTCCATAACCCTAGCACTTATAAGTTAAATAATGTAGAACTTAGCCATACAGATTGCGAAAAGGACTTGGGGGTTATGGTAAGCAGCAACCTTAAACCAAGACAGCAATGCCTAAGCATACGTAATAAGGCAAACAGATTACTGGGATTTATATCAAGAAGTGTAAGCAACAGAAGTCCAGAGGTCATACTGCAGCATTATACATCATTAGTAAGGCCTCACCTAGATTATGCAGCTCAATTCTGGTCTCCATATTACAGAATGGACATAAATTCGTTAGAAAACATTCAGCGTAGGATGACTAAATTAATACATAGCATTAAAAATCTTCCTTATGAAGAAAGATTGAAGACTCTTAAGTTACATTCACTTGTTAGACGAAGAATGAGGGGAGGCCTGATCGAAGTGTATAAGTGGAAGACAGGTATTAATAAAGAGGATATTAACAAGGTCTTGAGGATATCTCTCCAAGAGAGAACCCGCAGTAATGGATTTAAATTAGATAAGTTTAGATTTAGAAAGGACATAGGAAAGTATTGGTTTGGAAATAGGGTAGTTGATGAGTGGAACAGTCTACCTAGATGGGTTATTGAGGCTAGGACTTTGGGTAGTTTCAAATTTAGGTTGGATAAGTACATGAGTGGGAGGGGTTGGATTTGAGTGGGACTTTTACACCAGAGCTTATTTCTTGGGTAGCATTGAAAATTGGGTTGGGCAAATGTTTTGTTAGTGGGATGAATTGTAAAGGACCTGCCTAGTATGGGCCAACAGGCCTCCTGCAGTGTTCTTCCTTTCTTATGTTATCTGATTGTCTAATGTAGCTAGTATCTCTCTCACAGGGCCAATGAAAAGGTTAAGAAATACTATACAAACTCCAGAACTGTTATAAAGTGATTAGGTAATGCAAAATGTACTTACAAAACCTGCATAAAGTTGTTGACTTCCTCACCTGTGGTGGGTAGAGTGTCTTCATATGACTAAGTGCTATTTGACCAAGGTTCACAGTTGGCTGATATATTATAAGCAAATGTTTCTCAGTAAAGTTGAGAAAGACGCCTAGGATGGTGTCCTCTCCTTGTCCACAGCTACGTATCTGGTGCCGCTGGGCTAAGAAGTAACAATCATCTGGATTACAAGTCAACACTTAAGAAATAAAAAAAAATCTTCCAATAACTATATATCACTTCCAAACTTTAATGAGGTGAGAGGCATTTGCCTTACCACCTATGTACATCTAGACTGGACTGTAATACTATCAACGCTTTCTATCACACTTTATCAATGGCACACTATCATCAAACCAGATTCTATCATTCTAGACAACATACCTCCTGGATTTAACTTTCGTCCAGCCTCAGCTGTATTCTCCAGTGTGTCATGTGCCAGAATGCACTGAAGACGCGTGCAAGACCATGCCCGAACTTTACCATCACGGCATGCTCCCACTGCCAGGACGTCTCCTGCCAATTCCTTTACTACGAGACTTGTTACTGTTTCACAGCCTTCCAGGCCTCTGTGGGATTAAAATGTGTCATTTGTAGTTATACTGCATATAATAACCAATCATTCATCAATCAACCATCCTTCCTTAACAACAAAATGTGCAGGGTTGATTAGATAAAATGCAAGTGTTAAACAGATACAATAAAATGGACCTCACAAAAGCAGAATATCTGAGAAAACAGACTAAATAAATCTGCCCAGATACAGGCTCAACATGTCCGCTTAATAGGGTATCCACTAAAAACTGTAATGCAGTGGCCCAAATCTGCAGTACTGCATGGCTGTCTGGTCTGGTTGAACCATCAATAACGTGGACCAAATGTGCTTAATTACAAGTTTATCAGACCAAGCTTTATCCTGGACCTTCCCATTTACATCCTCCAGTGTAGGAAAGGCTGCTGGCCCAACTCATGTCAATTTGTTATTGTCTTTGAAAGTGCTCACATACTTTCATCATCTAGTCTTAAGAGGTAAAAACCAATGTTTGAAAAACTATTAGAATCTATTTATTCACAATTATACTGCTATTTATGTATGTAACAACGAAGGAAGGATGGAGGATGCAAGTTATTGGCAGTGATGGGTGGTGAACTGTAGTGGGCAGTGGGTGGCGAGCATTGGGGCAATGTAAATGAAAATGTATTTCCTTGAGAAGCTTACAATGAGTGGTTTACATTTTTTTTTTTTTTTTCAACAAGTCAGCCGTCTCTCACCGAGGCAGGTGACCCAAAAAAGAAAGAAAATCCCCAAAAAGAAAATACTTTCATCATCAATCAACACTTTCACCACACTCACATATTATCACTGTTTTTGCAGAGGTGCTCAGAATACAACAGTTTAGAAGCATATACATATAAAGATACACAACATATCCCTCAAAACTGCCAATATCCCAAACCCCTCCTTTAAAGTGCAGGCATTGTACTTCCCATTTCCAGGACTCAAGTCCGACTATATGAAAATAACCAGTTTCCCTGAATCCCTTCAATTAATATTACCCTGCTCACACTCCAACAGATCGTCAGGTCCCAAGTACCATTCGTCTCCATTCACTCCTATCTAACACACTCACACACGCTTGCTGGAAGTCCAAGCCCCTCGCCCACAAAACCTCCTTTACCCCCTCTCACCAACCCTTTCGAGGATGACCCCTACCCCGCCTTCCTTCCCCTATAGATTTATATGCTTTCTATGTCATTCTACTTTGATCCATTCTCTCTAAATGACCAAACCACCTCAACAACCCCTCTTCTGCCCTCTGACTAATACTTTTATTAACTCCACACCTTTTCCTAAATTCCACACTCCGAATTTTCTGCATAATATTTACACCACACATTGCCATTAGACAGAACATCTCCACTGCCTCCAACCGTCTCCTCGCTGCTGCATTTACCACCCAAGCTTCACATCCATATAAGAGTGTTGGTACTACTATACTTTCATACATTCCCTTCTTTGCCTCCATAGATAATGTTTTTTGACTCCACATATACCACAACGCACCACTCACCTTTTTTCCCTCATCAATTCTATGATTAACCTCATCCTTCATAAATCCATCCGCCAACACGTCAACTCCCAAGTACATACAGTGGACCCCCGCATACCGTTGGCATCACATAACGTTAAATCCGCACACCAATACATTTTATCGCTAAGATTTTGCCTCGCATACCGCTAAAAAACCCGCTCAACGCTATTCGTCCGAGACGTGTCTAATGTGCGGCCTGAGCCAGCCTCACATGTTCCGCCGGTGGCATTGTTTACCAGCCAGCCTCCGCGGTAACATCCAAGCATAAAATCGGAGCATTTCGTATTATTACAGTGTTTTTGGTGATTTTATCTGCAAATTAAGTGACCATGGGCCCCAAGAAAGCTTCTAGTGCCAACCCTACAGGAATAAGGGTGAGAATTACTATAGAGATGAAGAAAGAGATCATTGCTAAGTATGAAAGTGGAGTGCGTGTCTCGAGCTGGCCAGGTTGTATAGTAAACCCCAATCAACCATTGCTACTATTGTGTCCAACAAAACGGCAATCAAGGAAGCTGTTCTTGCCAAAGGTTCAACTGTGTTTTCGAAACAGAGATCGCAAGTGATGGAAGATGTGAGAGACTCTTATTGGTATGGATAAATGAAAAACAGATAGCAGGAGATAGCATCTCTCAAGTGATCATAAGTGAAAAGGCTAGGAAGTTGCATGAGGATTTAATTAAAAAAATGCCTGCAACTAGTGATGATGTGAGTGAATTTAAGGCCAGCAAAGGTTGGTTTGAGAGATTTAAGAAGCATAGTGGCATACATAGTGTGATGAGGCATGGTGAGGCTGCCAGTTCGGACCACAAAGCGGCTGAAAAATATGTGCAGGAATTCAAGGAGTACATAGACAGTGAAGGACTGAAACCTGAACAAGTGTTTAATTGTGATGAAACAGGCCTGTTTTGGAAGAAAATGCCAAGCAGGACCTACATTACTCAGGAGGAAAAGGCACTCCCAGGACATAAGCCTATGAAAGACAGGCTTACTTTCTTGATGTGTTCCAATGCTAATGGTGATTGCAAAGTGAAGCCTTTATTAGTGTATCTCTCAGAAACTCCCAGAGCATTCAGGCAAAAGAATATCCTCAAGGCTAATTTGTGTGTGCTGTGGAGGGCAAACAGTAAGGCATGGGTCACTAGGGACTTTTTCTATGACTGGTTACACCAAGCATTTGCCCCCAATGTGAAAGGTTACCTAACTGAAAAGAAATTAGACCTTAAGTGCCTCCTGGTGTTAGACAATGCCCCTGGTCATCCTACAGATGTGGCAGAGTGACTTTATGGGGACATGAGCTTCATTAAGGTGAAGTTTTTGCCTCCTAATACCACTCTCTCCTGCAGCCCATGGACCAGCAGGTTATTGCAAACTTCAAAAAACTGTACACAAAAGCTCTGTTTGAAAGGTGCTTTGTAGTGACCTCAGAAACTCAATTGACTCTAAGAGAGTTTTGGAGAGATCACTTTAATATCCTCAATTGTGTAAACCTTATAGGTAAGGCTTGGGAGGGAGTGACTAAGAGGACCTTGAACTCTGCTTGGAAGAAACTGTGGCCAGAATGTGTAGACCAAAGGGATTTTGAAGGGTTTGAGGCTAACCCTGGGAATCCTATGCCAGTTGAGGAATCCATTGTGGCATTGGGAAAGTCCTTGGGGTTAGTGGGGATGATGTGGAAGAGTTGGTGGAGGAGGACAATGAAGAACTAACCACTGATGAGCTGCTAGATCAACTTCAACGGCAAGAGGCCAGACCTGAGGAAACTGCTTCGGAGGAGGGGAGAGAGAAATTGAAGAAGTTGCCTACTTCAAAGATTAAGGAAATGTGTGGAATGTGGCTTAAAGTGCAAACCTTTTTTGATGACAATCACCCTAACACAGCTATTGCAAGCCGTGCTGGTGACTATTACACCGACACTGTTGTGAAACACTTTAGGAAAGTCAGAAAGGAACGAGAGGTACAGGCCACTATGGACAGATATGTTGTGCGACAGAAGTCCAGTGACTCTGAAGCTGGTCCTAGTGGCATTAAAAGAAGAAGGGAAGTAACCCCAGAAAAGGACTTGACACCAAGTCTTAATGGAAGGGGATTCCCCTTCTAAACACTAAGACTCTCTCCTCCTCCCATCCCATCAATCATCACCAGATCTTCAATAAAGGTAAGTGTCATGTAACTGTGCATGCCTTTTTCAGTTTGTGTGTATTAAAATTAATATTTCATGTGGTAAAAAAAATTTTTTTCATACTTTGGGGTGTCTTGCACGGATTAATTTGATTTCCATTATTTCATATGGGAAAAATTCATTCGCATAACGATAATTTCGCATAACAATGAGCTCTCAGGAACGGATTAATATCGTTATGCGGGGGTCCACTGTATGTGTACAGTACTTAGATAAAGGTAGGGAAGTTTTTATTGCATTTATCGATTTAGAAAGGGACATATGATAGAGTGGATAGGGGAGCAATGTGGCAGATGTTACAAGTACATGGAATAGGTGGCAAGTTACTAAATGTTGTAAAGAGTTTTTATGAGGATAATGAGGCTCTGGTTAGTGTGTGTAGAAGAGAGGGAGACTACTTCCCGGTAAAAGGTCTTAGACAGGGATTTGTAATGTCACCATGGTTGTTTAATATATTTATAGATGGGGTTGTAAAAGAAGTAAATGCTAGGGTGTTCGGGAGAGGGGTGGGATTAAATTATGGGGAATCAAGTACAAAATGGGAATTGACACAGTTACTTTTTGCTGATGATACTGTGCTTATGAGAGATTCTAAAGAAAAATTGCAAAGGTTAGTGGACGAATTTGGGAGTGTGTGTAAAGGCAGAAAGCGTGAGTTGATGAGGGTATCAAATGATTTAGATAAAGAAAAATTGGATATCAAATTGGGGAGGGGTATGGAAGAAGTGAATGTTTTCCGATATTTGAGAGTTGACGTGACAGCAGATGGATTTATGAAGGATGAGGTTAATCATAGAATTCATCAAGGAAAAAAGGTGAGTGGTGCATTGAGGTATACGTGGAGACAAAAAATGTTATCTATGGAGGAAAAGAGAATGTATGAAGGTATAGTAGTACCAACACTCTTATATGGGTGTGAAGCTTGGGTTGTAAATGCTGCAGCGAGGAGGCGGTTAGAGGCAGTGGAGATGTCCTATCTAAGGGCAATGTGTGGTGTGAATATTATACAGAAAAGTTGGAGTGTGGAAATTAGGAGGTGTGAAGTTAACCCTTTCAAGGTCCAGAGGCCAAATTTCAAAGTGCGCACCAGGGTCCAAGAATTTCAAAAAATAATTGTTATTTTTTCTTATGAAATGGTAAAGAATCTTTTTCTGAAGGTAATAAAACAAAAAGTACGAAATTTGGTGGAAAACTGGCGAAATTATGCTCTCGGGAATTTTGATGTGTCAGCGATATTTACGCATCGGCGATTTTGCTGACTTTGACTCCCATTCTAGGCCAATTACAGTATTCC